TCCAACCGGCTGCAGTACAACGAGTTTCATCCGTCCTCATCTGGTGAGATCGACCAACGAATCTCTTCATACACTTTTATTCGAAATGAAGGTCCCTCTAACAATGTTATCTCAGGAGATTCATCGAAACCCAGTTTCTCTTCGTATCTATAATTCATTAAGCTTCTACTGTCCTGAACTTAAACACCGTCAGAAAAGATGCATTTTTGTGAATGATGCAAAATTGTTGTATACCTTTGTAACAAAGTACTTACATTAAACAAATTAAATTTCCCTTTAAAGAAATGTACTGGACTGCAATCCAATAAGCCTGTTTCACAGTAACTCGATCTTGGACTCGACTTTTTTGACAAGGCTAGTTTAGCAGCTTCTTTAATTTGAATTAATAATTTGGCATGAAAATTGAAACTCCATCCTCATGGGGGGGGGTGAACACTATGTGCTAGAGTTTATGGATGGTCCTAAAATTCTTTTTAGATATTTTTCGTTTCATAAGTATGGTTTCGAGACTACCAGTAAATCAGTTACATGAGATGTATTCCTTCTATTTCGTTTACCGTGATGAAGGACTGCTAGTCGAATTTTCCCATAATGATATGAATAAAGCTGACGTTTCCATTAAATTTCACACTGCTTCATTTTCCCAAAAGGCATTCTCATCCAGAGTGGGCTTTAGTCTCGATTTTGCCTAGGTTTTATCAACACCACAAGCGGGAGTTGAATAAATTTAAGTGTAGAGTGTAATCTCGACACGTCAACCACTACGCTACATTGCCACGACTGTCCTTGGGTCACAGGGGAGATGTGAATTTCAAGAAAGATCGGGCATTTTCCAATATCACATTCTTGGTTTGACTGCCGATGAAGCATAGTTACATTTGCTATGATAATCGACCACATTACTTATTTTGCATTCCGCAGTCTGCCCTGGACTTGAACAACTTTTGGAAAAGCTAGGCTATATGAAATCCAATGAAAATTTCAACTCTACTCATATAATTATGGAAAAATTCAGCTACCAAACTTTCATCACATAAAGCAAAATAAAGTGAATACATATCATATTCTGTAAAGTAATTTGGCATATAAATTTGCTATTAGCTATCATTAACTGTTGCAGTGTAATTTTTAAATCTATGTCACCCCTAAAGAACTGTAGCTTTATATTAAGGAAAAGGTTCTATTTGAGTCAAGTAGTCAGGACATTAACAAATTGAGGTTGTTATTCAGTATACATCTTTACATAAGCTTCAGATCTTTCTTAAAACACACTATTATTAAATATCAAAATATAAACCTTGATATCGGTGGAAAACTAGATTTTAACGGAACACGAAATACAATTGCTCCAAAGAATTTCTTTTTACATTCTATAGGGATTTCACACCCAAGCATCAACTAAGGGTGTCGATAGAAAGAAATAAAACAACAAGCATTCTGAATACGCGAAGTGAATGTGGGAAGTTGAGCAGAAAATGTTTGTATCTGTTGGATAGAATTAAGGCGAAAAGGAATAAAAAGGAAAAGGAATATCCGCTGAATAAGGGGAGGAGGCTTGACTAGCTTCAAATCTGATGAGGTATTTTACGCTCCACATGACTTGGGCATACCCTACACACAACACGCAATTCCGTATACATAAGATAATTGCAAGGCAATACGTTTGATTATTTAGGCAAGTAGACAATTACCTTTATATCCACTTCATTTTCATGCATCAACCTACTCCATCTACAAGATTGTATGTTAGGCATGAAATAGACAACCAAATCATGAGAGGCTTTATCAGGATCGCAAAGTTAGATATACGAAGTGGGTTTGATTGCTTAGGGACACATTTAGTCTCTTGGCTTATTGTATTTGGTGCTTCATGTCGTGCTCTGACGTTGTTCGTCACATCTCAGACGACCTATCGGGGTCGCATGACGGCGAGCAAGGACTTCTTCGCACAATCCTACAGTTTTCACTCCTTTGTTTTCCGGGGAGACTAATTCACAAATTACCTCTGTACAACTTTTAATTCTAAATGAAAAAGCCAAATCACAATAAATTATGAAGGAACTCTTTAAAGCCCAAATTTTTTTCATATGTCAAAAGTAAACAATTTGAAATTAAGGTATAACATGTTGGCCTATAATACAAGGAAATAGGTTACTAAGAGAAAGCAGGTAAAGGAATAAATAAATAAAAACAAATAAAACTATGATAGGATAGATTTGAAAAGGATGAAATAGAACTGGAAGGGACACAGCCAAGTTAATTTGTTATCTATCGATCTTTATTCGTTAACATATTTTGGGTTTTGCAGATAAACGTTCATTTTCCTTCACACGATCGGAGAACGGATTCACAACCAGGACAATCGTATGTAGTTCAGAGGAAAATTATCATCACACATTCGCTTTTCTTTATGTCTATGCTACTTATTTACTTTCGTAATTTGATTTATGACTACTCGAACTTGATATACTCAGAAGCTAATCATATGACCACGCCATATTTAGTACAAATTACTATTTAATAGTGTTTGCAACCTAAGTCGATGCTGTCAAACCCATTAGGAGCTTTTTCTAAAGATACAAATCATAATCACAGTTTTAGCCCAAAATTCCCTGAAAGCAACTCGGTATTTATTCACAACATTTGGGAATAGTTTCCGTATGGTGGTGAAATATAAAAAATAACCATTTGTTTTGAGGTAAGTGTACATCCAAGAAAACTGTAATTTCGTTGAATTTACCCCGCTCTTTGGTCCTTGTCTTCTACCCATCTATACATCTGGTCATCTTCAGCTGCAGCCTTCGGAAGTGGCCACATTATTCAACTGGGTTGGTTAAATGCCAGTCAGGCCTGCCTCCGCCGTCGCCGGCAGAGCCATTATGCCTCGTCATTGCCGACGACAGAGAGACCTCCTCCAGTCTCTCTCCGGGATGCAACCGATTCCGCTTACGAGGCTCCCTTCTCTTGCCGCACCGAGGATTTGCCTGTGCCCGGCAACCTCTGGGCCCTCGGAACGGCCGGTCATCGGTGCCTAGACGACGTGGTAGCTGGACCGGCAAAAGCGTCGTCTACCGATGCCACAAGCCACAATAATCAGACCGGTGTAGAAGGGAAACGGAGCAATCCTCCACTTCCCGTCCCTCTGGATCAGCTGATCATGACGCAACGTCTGTTTGGTGAATTCCAATTGCTCGCTTTTGATGGTCCAGGCTGGCGCAAACCAAACTGGCGCTGGTGGTCATGGCTTCAACGCAGACTCCAGTTGCAGCCTCATCCTCGAGAGCGGATTAGCCAGAGGATATTTTCACCGAACGACCAGTTAGGCCAGTTAAGTGTGCACCTCCTCCGACCGCTGGGGGCCGGGTCTAGCGAGAGCGGGGCGGCTGGACCGCAATCCCCGCACGGCGGCCGATTTACAGGAATCGCGTGGATATGGCGACCAAGAAGCGGCGTCACCTTACCTGATGAATCTGACCTCAGAACAGGGACCAGCCAGACTGGAGCAAGGAAGTCAGTCCCCGAGGCGCCAGTGTACAACCGAGGGCGGAGGAGCCTTGGGCAGGGGGGGTTACTTGCAAAATCCGAACAAGCCACAGAGGCGTCATCCTCAAATAGGCTGAGGCGTCGGCGCCGATCGACGAGACAGGTCTACTCATCCTCCGGAGCAGAGTCGGGGCAGACAAGTTCCGGCCTGGTTCAATGTGGCTTGGAGACAGGCCGACACGAGGACTGGCGTCTGGTCTGTTGGGTTGAGGCCAGAGGACATTACTCAAAGCCAGAAGATTTGGGTGGCGGTGGCCGGTATTACCGCACTTACTCTGTTGGGGATCACTTTCAGACTGAAGATGGCAGTATGTTGTTACATTTAAATCGTTTTGATCACTCTACGAATCCGTATTTCGATTGGTTATTTTCTTTTTAGTCTCAAAATTAATTCATTATCCTTGTGGTTTTCTGCTTGATAAGCCTTTCCATCAAGAACACTATGAGTGACTCCAAACAAAAATAGTCAAGTCTTCAACCACCTCCTTACATACTTTTGCCTAAATGTGAATAAAAGATTCGGCTAAATGCACTAGATGGACATACATTGAGCCAATTTTTTAGTTGGGCTACGAATTAATGCTGTTAAATTTCATATGAGGCCATGTGAAGATGACGTAGCGTCATAGTTACTATGTTCAAAATGCCTACTTTTCTGTTGAACCAATTCTTCGGGTTGCTGACGCCTCTATTTCCCACTAGTTAGAGCCAAACTCTATCATCAAACATCAACTGATTTTAGTGCTTTCTAATTTTGCTTTCCAGAGTAATCCTATCCTTCTTTGGGTATAGCTAAGTTTCGAATTATTTCCCTTATATCTGAGATTGCTAATCACTAGACCTGGCATCTCAACTACTCTAGGAGTTGAACGGTTCAAACAAAATCATCATGTGTTTCCATTTTGTCATCATCGTTCAGCAGTGCTTTTGGTTGGATCAACAATTTGCAGATTTTTTACAGTAAATCCGTTCTAGCCTGTCTTCGTGCTTCACCATAAATTGACTATCAAGAGCATCAAAATGGCCTTAAAGCTAAGTTTTATACGAACAGCTTGGAAATTTTATCTTGGATAACCAACCTCATTGAGAACGATAAACTAAAGGAAAGCAATCTGTCAACTCTCCTCTCAAAGTTATTTAGTATTATGAGCAAAATGGAAGGTATTTAAAGACACTTCGTTCGAAAAATAGTATGATTTTACTTGACTGATTACTTATTTTATTCTTTTAATCAAATCGGACCAAACTTTCGTCTTTTATGTGAAAAAGCTACAGTAGAGCTTTATCTCAGCTGATATTTTACTGCAAATCTTCAAGAGTGGTATCAAATCAATGGAAGGGCCTTTACTTCACGAATGACACTAATCTTAAAAAATCCCGAGACCAAAATATAGACAAAAGATTTACGTCACAATTGGGTATAAATGGTCGGCATGATCATTTTTAGCTGATGGACAGATAGAATCATGCCGAGATTGTACACAGACATTTTATAGAACTTAAAAGTGTGAAGGCATCAATTGGGACTTTCGATTTTACATAAATAATGCCCAGACCAATCCGTAAGTCTACATATTTTTTTTAGTTTCTTCACAAGCAATTATAGTCTAGGTTCTAGCCTGACTGAACTTAACTGACGATGGTTTTTTAAGCAATTTGGAATGTATAAGGAATATATTTGATTTAACATATATAAGCAACTAACTTCGATTCTTCACTAACGTATTCTTGAAATAATAATTATTGATTATCCCTACTAAGCCCTACATCTTATTACCGTAGTTTAATTCAAGATATGAAGACCAAGATGTTGTGGACTCTGGTATCGTCGCCGTCTCCTTTCGATTTATAAAAGTGGATTGGCCTCGTCGCAACTTGGTCTTGTTGTCAGGGCGACTTAGCAAAATG